TGAGATGTGGTCTTAGCCATTCCCGGGCTCTATTATGAGAAGTTAAATTTCTTTTTTTAAATTCAATTTTACTATGCTGTTCCTCCTGGAACATCTGGCTAACTGAAGCCTTACTCCTCTTCACATTAACCTCATCTGGTTAAAATTTGACTAGTGAAATGATAATATTATGGGAAGATGTTAGACATTTGAGATCAGAAGTCAAAAGAAGAGGAAGAAGGGAAGACAACATTCACAAAATTCTTTAAACCTTCCCAAAGTGACTTAGCTAACTCTTTTTGTGGAGGGATTTCCCTGAGAACCTTTGGCTATCTTGGTGACATGTAAATCCCTTCCTCTCCAATTGTGAGTTCTTTAGAATGTAGCCTTGTAGTTCTTTAAGCCTGGGGTTTTGCAAACTCAGTGTCTGTACCTTAGTCTATTCACTAATTTGTTCTCATTCAGTTTGTTCAACCTTAATTGAAGGAAGCATGAGATAATGAATCTGTTTGACTAGGCCTGTGTAGTCTGTATGGCCTAAGAGGCCATAAAGATTGTTCAAAGTTAAAATGATTATTTCTGACTCTCTGACACAATTCTTGTCTGTAAAAAGCCTTGTTAGAATCCTGATCTTGGTTCAGGGTTGTTTTTTCCTACCTCCTGAACCTGTGTTTAAGCAAAATAAAACCTAGGTTTTTATCTCTATATTAATTTCTCTCTATATTAATTTTTCTCTATATTAATTAATAGATTTATTCAGCAGCAGGCTACCTATCATATGAACTCGGTGGGAAATAGTTCTCCAATGACACACTGATTGATCAATTGATTGATGACATAAAAAAAAAGAACTGAACAAATATCTACACTATTAAATCCTCTCATGGTCCTCCAGTTGGCAGCGATGGAGGGGGAATGTAGTCAAAAAGTAGACTCTTCTTAGGGCCCTAGGAAGAAAGGTTTGAGGGAAGGTGCCTTCCCACTAGGACAGACTATGAAAACATGCTCCCTAGGCTTTAGAAAGAAAATGGGTATCTAGGAAAATCAGATGCTGGTGTGGATTTTTACTTTGATTTAGGGTGAGCAGAGAACAGGAAAGGGAAGGAAGACCAAGGGGCACAGCTCAGTTGTCCCCTCCACCCCCCACCATTCTTCAGAGTGGTTGGTGGGAAGAAAGGAAGGAAGGAAGGAAGGAAGGAAGGAAGGAGGACATTGGAAGAGATGTTCAATAATTGCTAAAGAGTTCATTTTTTCTTGTTCCAGTCCCTCTGTGGTGCCCATCTGCTACTCCATTTCTGATGATCCTTCTCTTTGGCCTCTAGGGGATACTGAAGTTCAAAATGGGGTTAGAGGAGGAAGAGGGTGGACTGTAATTATACCTGAAGCAGTGGGGGCAGAAGGGTGTCATGTAGAAGGGGCATAAATATAATCCACCAAATATCTCTCTAAAAAATTTCACCCCCTCTCTCACTGTCCTCCATTGAGGAATTGACTATGGAAAAATTCACCTTTATAGGACCAAGTATCAAGAATTCCCCAATGTTTCCACTTGAACAGGAATAAAGGGAGATCACCATCTGGAACTGTCAATTGATTCAACTGCTTTTACAAGAATAAATCATTTGCAAGCTCTTCTAGTCCAAGTGTGCTACAGCCCAACCCAGATTCAACTGTAATTGGGAAACAGTTAACAAAATAAATAATAGAATAGAACAGGGATAATATTAATATGTGGTTTTCTAAGTCAATAGGCAGCCCCAGGGATCCTCATGCCAGGATTGGTGGCCTGTTTCCATTTGAGTGTAAAGCCACTCACGAGATGCATTTCTGCAACAGACTCTTTATAAAGTGCCCTAAATCACCCCCATTAGACCACACCCTTATCAGCCATAGCTGTTTCTTTAACTTGTAGTTTTAATTACTCATGCAACAGCTAGTAAGTGTCTGAGGTCAAATTTAAACTCGGGTCCCCCAGACTCCAGGGCCAGTACTGTATCCACTGTACCCGAGTTCAAATTTGACCTCAGACACTTACTAGCTGTGTGACCCTGGGTAAGTCACTTAACCCAATGACACATCATACAAAAACCAAAAAGAAACAAGGCCTCCCAGTCAGGACCTGAAGGAAGCACTCTACAGGCAGTATGAGTGAGCTAGATGCGGGGCTTCTTAAACTTTTTCCACTCTCGACCCCTTTTTGCATTTGGCCAGTGTTTGTTGGTACTGTGTGGGCATGATGGCATGTCCAGTGCAAAGTGCACAGAACCAAGGCTGCAGTGAAGTTGTGCGATGCAACACAGGCAAGTCCTACCAAAAAACACCTCAGATTCATTACACGTTTGATTTTTAACTCATTTTTGGTCCTTGCACATTCAGAAACCTTTTACAGTTGCCAAATTTTTCATGACTCCATATGGGGTCTTGACCCATAGTTTAAGAAGCTCTGGGCTAAAGAAAACATTTCTGACACCCTTTCCTGCCCCCAGGTCCATCATTTCAGAATTCAAACCACCAAGTATGCAAAGCACCAGGTGGGGCTGAGCCTAGCGAGGGGGGAGGAGGTATGCCCCCCAACAGTTGCAATAGTGCCCTTCCCCAAGTTTCCACTATATCCCCCAAACACTTTTCCTTCTTTTGAAATTCCTAATTAGTGTGGAAGGCACCACTATCCTCCCAGTCACCCAGGCCTATAACCTTCGTGTCTCTTTCACCCTATACATCCAATCAATTGCCAAATTTTGTCATTTAGTCACTCTGCTGGTGCAAGCCTTCATCACCTCGTGCCTGGAATATTGGAATAGGCAGCCTTCTGGTGGATCTGTTGCCTCAAGTCTTTCCCCACTCCAGTCCATCCTCCACTCAGCCACTAAAATGATTTTCCTAAAGAGCAGGTCTAACTGCCCCCCCCCCCCCCCCGGTCAACTGCAGTGACTCCCCATGGCCTCCAGGAGCATTATAGCAAGTTTTTGGAAAGCTCTTCCTAACATGGGCCCTTCCTTCCTTTTCCACTGCCCTCCATGCATTCTATCTTCTCCTGGTAACTGTCAATGACTATCCTCCACTCTTGGACTACTCTCCCTCCTCCCTTCCAATTCTTAGTTTCTTTGGCTTCCCTTAGGACTCCCTGCAAACCCTCCCTTTGGCAGGAGGCCTTACACTTGACAGTCCCTGAAATCCCCTCCATACACAACAGCTGGCATGCAGTTTCTGCCATTACAATGGAAACTCCTTAAAAGCAAGGCCCATGCTTCAATCTTTCTTAGCATAGTCAGTACCTGGTACATGCTAAGCATTTAACAAATGCTTGTTGACTATACAAAGCTCTCCTGATTGGATCTTAAGAGATAAAATACACCTCAAGGCCCAGAAATTAGCAACACATTCTTCATTTGAAATGTCATTTCCTAAGAAGCAATCTAGTGACCACCCAACTTGTCAACAAACTTAGTATGCATATACAGGTAAAATCTGCAGTTTCAAGGGTTAATTTTGCTGAAGAGAAAGCTGAAGTACCATCTGAAAAAGCTATGTGAGAAAAAAAAAATCATATATAATCTCATTCCAACACCTTCTCTTCCCCAAATAAAGTGTAAGTGAAGTTCTGCCCTTTTGAAATAGCTGACTTTTTCAAAAGTTACTGAATGCTCAGGGTGAGGGAGATGTGGAAATGTCCCCTCCAGAGAGCATGTGTGTGAGGAAGCAGAAGGGCAGGCGGAAATGGGGGGGAGGGGGGTGCATTGCGTAAGGGCAACAGTTCTAACTGATTCATCCCTCACATGTCTGACATTATGGGGCTCTTGTGACAGCTTTCTGACCTCAGCCATGTGTCCACATTCCTGCTCTAATGCTTCTTCTGAAATGCAAAAATGGGACAGCCCCAGGCAAGTAGCTGGTATCCAAAAGGTCTCAGGAGCAGGAGTGCAAACCAGACCAGCAGCAGCTCCAGGGGCTGTTTCTACCTTTCCAGGCACTACGCACTTCAAGCTATTCCACCAGGATTTTCCTAAAAAAGCTCTTAGTGGGAAGGCACCTTCCCTCAAACCTTTCTTCCTAGGGCCCTAAGAAGAGTCTACTTTTTGACTACATTCCCCCTCCATCGCTGCCAGTCAGTGCTCACTTCAACAGCTCTGGCAAACATTAAATAATCCTGCCACAAACTTCTAGAGGCAACAAGCATTTACTGAGCACCTACTTTGTGCTAGGTATTGTGCCAAGCATTGGAAATACAAAGACAGGCATATACAAAGACATAGATCAGGTTAATTTCCATTGGAGGCAGCCTCAGAGGGAAGGCACCAGCAACTTGGGGAAGCAGGAATGGCTTCCAGGAGAAGGTGGGATTTTGGTAGACACTTGAAGGAAGTTAAGAAGTTGAGTGAGGCCAGGAAGGAGAGCATCCCAGGCATGGAGAACAGCCAGTGAAAAGACACAGAGCAGAGAAATGATAGATTTTCTTGTTCAAGGAATAGCAAAGAGGCCGTGTCACTGGGTCACAAAGTAGGTGTAAGAATGGAAAGGCAGGAAGGGGCCTGGCTGGGAAGGATTGGTATCTGATCCTGGAGGCGACTGGGAGGAGGTTCACTCCAAGAGCAAACCACAGTGCACGTGGTCAAGCTTGTCTTGCCAGTTGGAATAAAGAACACCAGACTTGTGTGCACCCCGACAACCGGAAAACTGCTAAGAGTAAGAGTACTAACCTCAGGCTGAGACAACTGCTAGCAATGTGTATGACTCTGAGAATACTGAAGGGAGCCCAGAGTGCTAAGGCCTGGCCAATTTGAAGCCACCATGAGTGGTGGGAGAAAAAAGAGCCAGGTTCCAATCTCTGCTGCTTTCAGGGTCCCTTCTATTCTGAATAATCAGGAGCTTACTATAAAAGGGAAGATAATTCATCCAGCAGTGAAGTCAAACTCCTGCCTAGGGCATGAGTTAGACCTTGTTATTCAGCAGGTGTTGAGGGAAAATATTTACAAGTGGCAGAAACTGTAAACGGAACCATTTGATGCTGAAAAAGATCTTACCAGTTGTGCAGCCAGAACACTGGAGAACTCACTGTTCATGGCATAGGGAAGGGCTGTTTGTGCTCTGGAACCATAAGTAGTCTGAAACCTCTTCTTGATTTCATTCAGAAAACTGAAGGCTCGGGAACGTTCAAAATCCTGAAAAGATACCGACACCTCTGTAAAGAGAGCAGGGTGCTCAGCAGCAGATGCTTCAACCTGCTTCACAGCCTAAGCACCAAGGAGATGCTCAGCAAAGGAGAATACAGCAAAGATAACACATGTGGTCAAAAGGGTGTGGACTGGGAAGCTGGTTCTTCAGGACTGGCCTTGCCATATACACTCTTAGCATGTCCCTCTTACGACTGACCAGTGGAAGACCTGAGATGACTGGGCCAACCATAGGGGTATGATCTCACAGTCCGCTCAATTGCATATATGATCTGCACATCTGAAACTCTCATCTATGACTTCCCCATTAAGAGTCATAAGGTCTGTCTTTTTTTTTTTTTAAAGTAAAGCAGAAAGCAATCACTGAGAATGGGGTTAAAAATGGATTCTCTAGCTGCCTTATAACTTAAGCAACTAGAAGGCGGTGATCATGTTCATGGATCATGGAAAGTGTTCCCATATTAAAGTATTGCCTTGCCAAACTCTCCCAGCAGAGTCTAGAGCTCCAAAATATCACTTTGGCTGGTCAGCCTACTACAGTTTTCGTTACTGCAATCTTAGGCCTCAATCTTATCTCAGCAGAAGCTAAGAAATAGAATTGGGTGGGGGGGGGGGGAAGAAGACCCAGAATTTGATTAATGACTGATCTGATTAAATATAAATATGGTCATTTCTCAATTATCCAGGGAAAATGGTCATCTCAAGATAGTTTTGCACAGCCACCTAACATGTTTCTATCTCCATCCCTTGGCAGAGTCTCAAAGAATAACTTGAGCAATTAACTACAAGGAGGCAGAGGAGAGGGAGAAAATCACAATTATTATAAAACCCTATATCCCATTAACCATATTCATTGGGGAATGGAGCCTTCTGATTACTTTAATTTTCTGGTTAATGAAAGATTAAATAAAATTCTGATTTTGGTTTAAAAGCTCTGTTGGAAATCTTTTTAACACTTATTAGTCTACTTTCCTGCTTTAGTACAGTCTAGTGAACAGAATGGAATCTTCCTTTTGAGATTTGAGAATCTGCAGGTAGAAGCTTTACCAGCCATCACTCAACTATTCTGATCCCCAGGCTACACACCAAGCTGAGTTTTAAAAAAATACAGAAACCTTGATATCAGCTTGTTTTGTTGCCATTTGTCTCTGAAACATCCAGAGGCATATTCAGAAGACAAATTTCCAAACACTGAAATTGAAATCCTGAAAAAAATCCAATCACTGAATCTGGGCTAGTTGAGTTTCAGTTCAGTTCAGTTTTGTAGCTAGTTTAGGTTACTTTCTGTACCATGGTCCCCTACATTTATATAACAAAACACGACGTGACAGTACTAGAAAATGCAAGTGGGTTATTAACAATCTGTTTCCAAGGTACTTACATCATCTGTGATACAAAGATATACGATCCTGTCTTGGCAGATGTAGTGAAACAGATAACTGTAGAGATAAAGAAAAAATACCAGTAACATGTAAAAAAAAAAGTCTTTCTCTATGTTAGAGAATATGTAAAGCATGGACTATTTTAGAACCCCCACACTGACAACACTCTTCAACGCCTCATCATGACTTAGAGTTCTTGAAGAGCATGTAAGCAGAGGCCCTGGCAGGGCCTACCAAGGCAGAGGCTTCGAGCCTAGGCCACTTTATGTCTGCTGCCTGAAGCTTCAGTGCAAATAAATCCAACTTACTCTTACTATATGGCTCTCCCTAAAATACTAAATTTGAAGTTACATATCTGAAAAATTATGTACAGCCAGTTTTTTGGTATGAAAATAGGTTGAATTTCTTCCACTTTACTCCAAACTTTTCCTGCCTTCCCTCTTTATCCAAGGGATGATTCTGTGTCTCCAGCCATCACTTCTCAATCAGTTGGCGTGGATCCTCTCAATATAGTTCAAGCACAGAAATGACCTGTGACAAAATTAGTTTGGCAAACATGTTCTAACTTAAAAATCAGTCATGGGTTACTGGCAGCTAATTCAAAGACCCATCCAAAAGTCTGTTTTCTAGTGTTGTAGTTGTAGCTGTGAAACTCCCTTTCCCCACCCTTCCATCATTACTAAGCAAGACTCACTTTCCATGTGAATAAGTGAGTTTGTTATTTTCAGAGGGTATTTTAGCCAGAATCTGCTCTGTCACCTCCAGGAAGTTTCCGCCACACCAAGCATGTTTGGCAAGGATGGTTGTGCCTCTGGCAACAACTGCGAAAAGGATAGCCATGCTTTCAATCTAACAAAAGAAAACAGAAGTGAGACAGAATAGTTCTTTGACCAGAATTTTTTGTTATCAAAAAGCAGTTAGTGAACATCTAATTAGATGTAGTATTGTACCGCGTCATTGACCTCTTGACGTTCTCAGACTAAGCCATATGACAGTTACAAACCTCTAAGACAAGGAATCAGGCCAGGATAGTTCATCTGTCTCTAAGAAGGTAGCATTTAACTCCATCAAAAGTAAAGTGCAAGCAAATTTTAGAGAAATGTAGAATTCTTGGCTCAGTAAGAAGGCAGATGAAATTCAGTTTTACACTGATAGCAACAATCCAAAGTGCTTTTATGATGCCATGAAGGCTATTTGTGGGTCAAAGACCTATGGTGCATCTCAACTACCCAATGCTGATGGAGCCACATTGATCAGTGATAAGGACATGATCCTAGACAGATGGGCTGAACACTTCCATAGTGTTCTCAACAGATCATCATCAATCGATGCTGAAGCTGCCATTGACTGTATACCTCAGGTTGAAGTCAATCCCTCTTCAGCAGAACTTCCAACTGAAAAAGAGTTTTTGAATGCCATTAGGCTCCTCTCCTGTGGCAAATCACTTGGTGCTGATTCTATTCCAGCTGAGATTTACAAGGTGGTGGTAGAGGTGATGGGGTCCACTGCTCATACAAAAGCTGTCTGAAATCATCTGGGTTATATGGCAAGAGGAGGTTATCCCTCAAGAGATTCAAGGATGCCTCCAATGAACATCTTTATAAAGGAAAAACAAATAAGTTGTCCTGTGACAATCACAGGGGGTTCTCTCTTTTAGTCATTGCTGGCAAGATTCTTGCCAGAGTCCTCCTTAATAGAATGATCTTTCACCTGGAAGACGGTCATCTACCCAAGAGTCAGTGTGGCTTCAGAAAGGGCCAAGGAATAGTCGACATGGTGTGTGCTGCCTGCTAACTCCAGGAGAAATGCCAGGAGCAGAACAGAGGTCTGTATACAACGTTCGTCAATCTGACCAGTCTGTGGAAGATCATGGCAAAATCTGATTGTCCGGAGAAGTTCATCAGTATTGTATGCCAGCCCTAGGATGGCATGCTTACATGCGTTATGGATAATGGACAACGCTCTCTTGCTTTCCCAGTCACCAATGGAGTGAAGCAGGGCTGTGTGCTTGCTCCCATGCTTTTTTTAGCATGATGTTTTAAACAATGTTGTCAGATGCCTTCAACGAAGGCAGCATCAAGATGAAAATGGCATCAAGGTCAGCTACTGAATTGATGGTAAATTATTTAACTTGAAAAGGCTACAAGCCAAGACTAAAGTTGAGGGAGAGTTGGTGCGCAAGTTTTTGTTCACAGATGATTGTACACTCTATGCGTCCTCTGAGGCTGAAAAGCAACAGAATACAGATCGATTCTCTGCCGCTTGTGCTAATTTTGGCCTAACAATTAACAGAAAGAAAAGAGAGGTTCTCCACCAGCCAGCATCACAAAATTCATACGTGGAACCATTGGTTACAGCAAATGGAGAAATTTTGAATTCGTGAATAAGTTCACTTACCTTGGCAGTTTGCTTTCCAGGGAGGTCCACATAAATGATTAAGTTGATGCATGCATTGCTAGAGCTAGCTCAGCGTTTGGGAAGCTCCAAAGGAAAGTGTAAGAAAGAAGAGGTATTAGGTTGCCTACCAAACTGAAGGTCTACAGAGGCATTGTATTGTTTAGTCGTTTTAATCATGTCCAACTCTTTCTGACCCCATTTGGGGTTTTCTTGGAAAAGATACTGGAATGGTTGGCCATTTCCTTCTCCAGCTCATTTTACAGATGAGGAACTGAGGCAAACAGGGTTGAGTGACTTGCCCAGAGTCACACAGCTAGTTAGTATCTGAACTCATGAAGATGAGTCTTCCCGATTCCAAACTGAGTGCTCTCCACCTAGCGGATCTTGTTGTATACCTGTGAAACCTGGACAGTATACGAGCACCACACCAGGAAATTGGATTGCTTCCATTTGAATTGTCTTAGGAAGATCCTGAAGATCACCAGGCAGAATAAGGTACTGGACACTGAGGTCCTTTCTTGAGCTGAACTGCCAAGCATTCAAACTCTAATGCATGCTTGCCTAAAAGACTATTTTACAGAGAACTCACACAAGGTAAACAAGCACTCACACAGAGGTCAGAAGAAGCGATACAAGGACACTCTCAAGGTCTCTCTGAAGAACTTTGGAACCGATTGTGAGACATGGGAGACACCGGCACAGGATCACCCAGCATAGCATGTCCTCATCAGAGAAGGGGCTGTGCTCTATGAGCAAAGTGGAATTGCAATAGCACAAAGGAAATGAGATGCACAAATCTAGAGCCATCTCCACTCCCAATGTTCATTTGGACTATTTGTGCCTGACCTGTGGTAGAGCCTTCCGCCCTAGTATTGTTCTAATCAGCCACAGTCGGTCTGGCAGGAGGGGTACTCCTGCCTCAGCAAGATGGCTACTGATGTCACCGGCCATTGACTCTCAGCCTGGGTCCTGGAGGACCAAGGAGGTTGGGAACGGATATCTGAAAGATGAGAGATGACAAAGGACCCTCTCAAAACTCACCTGTGACTCAAGCCACTAAGCATTTGAGAACAGCAGCCAGGAAACATAAGCCCCAGACCCCAGGACTCCTGCCTGTGGTAGGAAAAAGGTCCCTAACTGGACCCAATGGGACCTTGGCCTTCCATACCTGTTGGTTCTGAGGTATGACATTTGACATAGTGATGTCCTTTTGGTCCTTTTCAAATACAAAGGACAACAACCAAACCAAATCAGAGAATGAGTTCTAGCTGGTCTTCTTGTACTTACTAGCTGTGTAACCCTTGGCAAGTCACTTTACCACTGTCTGCTTCAGTTTCCTCAACCGTAAAACAGGGCTAATAACAGCACCTACCCCACTGGGTTGTTGTGAAGATCAAATGAGATACTGTCAGTAAAGCACTTAATATAGGGGTGGGCTCTAGGTCCTCACGTGCAGTCCTTTGACTGAATCCAAACTTCACAGAACAAATCCCCTTAATAAAAGGATTTGTTCTGTAAAACTTGGAATTGGTCAAAAAGCTGCACCCAAGGACCTAGAAGGCCACATGTGGCCTCAAGGCTTTAGGTTCCCTACCCCTGACTTAATATGCCTGGCATATAATAGGTCCTATATAAATACGTATTTCTTTCCCATCCCTTACCCTTCCACCCTCCACTCAGACACCAAACTGATTTTTCTAAAATGCAGGTCTGACTATGTCACTCCCTGACTCCAAACTCCAATGGCTCCCTATCACCTCCAGGATCAAATACAAAATGTTGTTTGTCATTCAGAGGTCAGCATAACCCAACCCCTTCCTACCTTTCCAGTCTGCTTACACCTTACACCTCTTCTTGTATGTATCAAGTGACACCAGCCTCCTTGTTGCTCCTTTCATAAGAGATTCCACAGGAGATCTCCTGAATCTGGGCATTTTCCACTGGCCTTCCCCCCTACCTGGAATTCTCTCCCACCCCTTCTCCGCCTCCTGACTTCCCTGGCTTTCTTCAAGTCCTAGCTAAAATCCCATCTTCTTTGAGAAGTCTTTCCAAATTCTCTTTAAATGCCAGTGACTTCCCTCTGTTGGTGATCTCCCATTTATTCTGTATATACATTTGTTGTTTACATGTTGTCTCTCCCATTAGACTGTAAGCTTCTTGAGGGCAGGCAATTTTTTTTGCCTGTTTTTGTATTCCCAGTACTTAGCAAGTACTTGGCACATATTAGATGCTTAATAAATATCTATTAACTTGACTATGAGGGTAGCTGGGTGGTGCAGTGGATAAAGCACTGGGCCTGGAGTCAGGAAGACTCATCTCCCTGAGTTTAAATCTGGCCTCAGACACTTACTAGCTGTGTGACCCTGGGCAAGTCACTTCACCCTGTTTGCCCCAGTTTCCTCATCTGTAAATTGGGCTGGAGAAGGAAATGGCAAACCATTCCAGTATCCCTGTCAAGAAGACCCCAATATGGGGTCACAAAGAGTCGGACACAACTGAAATGCCCAACCAACAACCTGACTATGAGAATAATCTAAAAAAGTATTAGAGATAGAAGGAAGCAGAGGTGGTCTTCTCCTTTAATTCCCTACTTGATTCTGTCCACCATCAATAAATCAGCCACAGTTTAACGTGTATCAGGCATTAGGGAGAGAAAGACCACATGCCTCAAAGAACCTGTTCTTCTGAAATCTCTAAATTCATCTGAAAGATGACCACACAATTGCCCTTAGAACACTTCCAGTGAAGGGATCTTGGGAGGTACCAAAGGCCATTTTCAATCAGTTTTCATTTTTAGGACAGTCTTCTTTATATTATCCTCAAATCTGCCCCTCTTGAACTTTCACCCATTGGCTTAGTTCTATACAAGCTAATTTTCAGTGGCTGCTAGAATGAATGCTTTGATGAAGTGTTTAGTATGTGATAAGCCTTGGGGATACAAACAAAAAGCAAACCAGTTCCTGGCCTCAAGGAGCTCATATTCAAATAGAAAACAACACAAGAGAGGTAAATATTCAACTGTTCTTTTTACAACACTATGTTTTCAAATCATTTGAAATATCCTGGTCACCCTCCACTAACTAGAGCCACTCCCACTTATCCATGATTCTCCTAAAAGGTTGTGTCCAGAAGCCAATCGTTTACTGCATATGTGATCTGATCAGACTGTCTGTTGCCTCCTTTTCTGTGTATACTCAACTTCTTTGAATGTAGCCTAACGTCACATGAGTGTTTCGGACTGCCATAAATACTGTTCACTCAGTAATACTGAGTCTTTTATCACATGAACCCCCAATTGGCCCCAATTCTATACAGTACTAAGGATTCAAACAACTTAACATTTACCTCTATCTAAGTGCAGCCTGTCCAATTCAGCCTGGTGTTCTAGTTTGCTGAGATGTTCTGGATCCTCAAGCTGTCTTCTAACATATTGGCTATTACTTCCAATCGGGTGGTGCCCACAACTTTGATCACCAAGCTCCCAGGACAGAACACTGGTGACTTACTTTCCTTCCAGAGGACATCAATCTATTAGTCATCTCTTGTACTTGGCTGACTCAGGATAGGTCCCAGGTAGCTTAGGGTCAATATTGGAACAAAATGATCCAACAGTTAGAACAAGAAATTTACTTCTAGCCAGAGAACGACATTCAAAAAAAACAGAAGCACTGAAGACCCCTTGAGTTGATTCAGCTGGGAAGCTTGGGAATTCTTGCCTAAATGACCCATTGTGATCTACCAGCCTGAGAGCACCTGGAGCTCCTCATGACTGCTTTGTACACAAGTGATGAGCAAGTGATCCATGTCAGTCTGCTGACTTTATTCCTGAGCCAACCAAGTCTAGTCTAACTTGTAATGGGGGGGGGGGGAGGAAGAGGGTTAGCTAATATCATAGCCAGTACTTCTATAACACCTTAAGGTTTGCAAAGCACTTTACAAATATGATCATTTGATCCTCACAACAAGCCTGAGAGGAAGGTGTTATTCACGATCCCCATTTTAAAGGTGGGGGCCATCCCCAGTCATCCTGGCTCCCATGACCCTGGAGGAGAGAGTGAGGCTGAGAGTGAGAGCTACACCAGCTGTGCCTCACTTAAATCCAATTCACTTGCAAGTTAAGACCACCTCCTAATGTCACTGGTCTTCTTCCAGAACAAACAATGACGACAACAACAATTTTAAAGGTGAGGAGATTGAAGCTGGCAGAGGTGAAGAGACTTGCCCAGGGTCACACAGCTGGTGTCTGAGGCTGGATTTGAACTCAGGTCTTCTAGACACCAAGTCCGCCACTCTGTGCCCTGTGGTGCCCCTAAGCTGCTAGGACATTGAGAGGATATTGCTTTTATCACACCACTCTTTTGATTCATTTATTCAAACAGTTCAATACAAAAATATCAATAGGCTAAAATAATGGTCTAAATTCCAGGTTGCTAAAGCTAGCCAACAATGCATGTGATGAAGACATGAGTATTTTTGATCCTTCCTATCAGATATACAATATGAGTATTATTGTCTCCATTTTAAAGCTGAAGAAACTGAGGCTCAGAGGATAAATGACTTATCCATGGTCACACAGTAAGTAGCAGATGCCAGGGCATCTAGACTCCTAGTCTAGTGCTCCTACATCATCTGCTTTCTCTCAAATCTTTGAATATTATACCATCAGCCACACCCCTAGGGGCTGGTTCCAGACACCCTATGTTTTAATAGCCCATTTCCTCTCATGATCCTTCCATAAGCAAAATTCCTATAGACTGAAGAAATGTGTCGTGTTTGAACATTTATTATTTACATATTTATTTGCATATTCACATGCAGACAGATGCTCCTATGAACTTCACAGTAGCCTTTTGGTATCATGTATATTCTGGTAACACAGTGGATGGATAAAGTGCTGGGCCTGAAGTCAGAAAGGCCTGAGTTCAAAGCTGACCTCAGACATGACCTCGCTGTGTGACCCTGGACATGGACTTAATCGCTGTCTCAGTTTCCTTACCTACAAAATGGGGATAATAACATCACCTACCTTGCAGAGTTGTTGCGAGGATCAAATCAGATGATAATTGTGAAGCCCCTCAGCACAGTGCCTGGCACATAGCAAGCAATTAATAAACGCACTTCTCTATTATGCATATTCTTAAAATTGGTTGATGTTAAAAAAGGGTTCCTACATGCAAAAAGGCTGGAAGGGACTGGTCTAAACCAGGGAAAACACACAACAATTCTGAGTATCTCAGGAACCAGATTAAATGTAATTGGGACATATCTAACAAACTAAATAAAAATACAGTAGAACATAAGATGATGTACTAATAGGTGTTTTCTAAGTCGATATGTGGCCTCAGGGCTCCTTATGAAAGGTTTAGTGGCCCTGTTTTTCATTGACACCACTGCTCTGAACCATCCAGGATATTCACTTCTTGAACATCTTAGTGGATAATCTTAACTCCATAATAACTACAAGCAGAAACTGAAAGGAAAAAAAATGGATTTTCCATGAAAACTACAAAAATCCTTAGAAGAGAGAAAGCAAGAGATAAACAGTGAAATAAAAACTCCAGAGAAAAGAATTAGAAGTGCTGTCTGATTTAGTGGAAATCTATAAACAGTTTTTTCCTCTACTTTGATTTTCAGTCTCTTGACCAGATTCATAAGTCTGCTTGTTATTAATACCTGTACGTGGTAAACACCCCTTAATAACTACACTTTGAATATGAAATCTGAATGCTATCCATAAGGAAGAGCCAGGAGGCCAGTGTGGCCTGGGTAAAGGAGACTAAGATGTGAGAAGACTGGGAAGGTAAGAGAGGGTCAAGTTATGAAGGACTCTCTAAAGGGACTAGCAGGGTTCCACTGGGAAACACAGACGATGTTAAAACAAAAGATATCAATAAAATTTCATTTTTAAGTTTTGGGTCCCATGAGCAACAGGATGGCAGACTAGACATTTTCTCCCATTCCCATGATCTCCTGAACCTCTCCAATTCAATGCCAAAGATAAAGCAATTTCAGGTGTTTCCATGGTCTAAGACAACGAGAATCCAAAAGATAAAAAACAAAAACAGCTCAAACCCAGGAAGTGATGCTCATTGACCCTGAGCTCACTTGGTAGTATGGCCACACTAGTGGATCCCAAACCCAACCCTACACCCAAGGTTCCCCCCCCCCCCATCTCTCCAGTAGTGAAGAGTCCCCAGGTTCAGGCTGTGGAAGCCAATCCTGGCCTAGACAGGAAGCCAGCGGGCCACAGCCCTTCAGGAACAAAAGCCTGTTAGAGGTCATAGACCTGTAGCACCAGCAAAGCCAATGGCAGGACAGACAACCTTGTAGCACCAGTGTTGCAAAGCTCCAAAAAGCCAGTGCCAGCTAAAGAACTCAGGAACAGAGGGAATGGGACAGTGTGGGGGGGGGGAGTGGGGGGAGGGGAGGGAGGAAGCACTCCACCAAGCCTGAGGGAAACAGCACAGCTTCCATATGGGATCAAGTCTGTCCCCTCAAGTCAGCTGAGGCAGAGACCTAGACTGGTGAATGATGAATTGCCTAGGGTGGGAAGAGGCTGAGACACTATGAAATCCAGCCTCCAAGGAAACCATCATCAGAGGGAAGGGAGTCAAGAAGTGAATGAAAGGGGAAAGTAAGGGTCCCCCTTATTTTTATTTTAAAAGACTGAAATTATCAAAGATTTCAGGAAGAAGAAAATTCAAAGACCTCGAACACAAGCAGATAAATCAATAGGAAAAACAGAAGGAAATATGACCTCCAGATCTAGTAAATGAGTTCAGAAATCCATGAATAAATACTGCAAAATAAAGGAAAACAATCTGACACTTGATGAGACAGAGGACCCTGTGGAATTTGAGGAGATAGTTCCTGAGTGGCTCAAAAGAGAAATGAGAATTATGAGAGCAAGATTTATGGCCTATACAGCAGAAATAATGGACAGAACAGAATAAGTGGAAATCTGCCACGGCAAGCCTTACCAAAGAAACAAAAAAGAAAACAATGGATTTGGAATACAAATACACAGAAGTGAAGGACAACCTAGAAGAAGAGAAGCAAAAAACAAAAACATTGAAAGAAATACGCTTATCATACAAGCAAAACATATGGATCTTGAGGACAGGATGCATGGAGACAACCTAAGGATCATAAGTTTCTCAGAAAAACATGTCAGGACAAAAAACTTTAACAGCATAATGTAGACAGTAGCAGAAGAGAACTGACTAGAACTTCTGAACATAAAAAATGAAACACTAATTTTAAAAATTCCTAAATTGTCTCCAGAAAGGGGGAGCGGGGAGAACCAAGGCTGCAAACTCCAAGACATAGTGTGGTTAAATTTAACAATTCAATTCAGAAAGAAGTTTGGTAAACCAGCAGTAGAAAGACCTTCAAATACAAAGGAAAGTAAATTTGAATAATGCAGGACTATTTGGTGCCCACTAGAAAATGTAAGAGGGAATGGAAATGGGTTCCAAAGAGTAATGGAGCTCAGGATGCACCTAGGGTGACCTACCCTGCAAATCTGAGCTAAAACATACAGGAAAAAAAGATGAGAGGTTCAATAATAAAGAGTTGTTAAAAATATTTTTAAAAAGAAAACCAGAACTGAAGAGATTATTTGCTTCTTGAACAATGGAAATGCAGAAGGAATGAATAAATGCAGCAGCCAAGGACAACAACAGCAACATAGTGATAGCAGATACACCAGTAACAGACTTCTTCCTAAATGCACACAACGAAAAAAGTGTAAAGGCAAAAATTTTATCAGAATTTTAAGAGTAGTGCATAGCCATATGTAATAAATTATTCTTAAAAATTGAGAAAGAAAGCACTCTACCAGAATTCCTTTATGAGACAAATATAGTCCTAATACCTACACCAGGGAAAAATAAAACACAGAAAACTGTAAGCCAACATAAAATTTTTTTTTAAAATCCTATCAAACACATTACAACAATAAATACAAGAAATCATTCAGTATGATCAAGTAGTATTTATACCTGAATGCAAGGATGTTTCAACATTAGGGAAACAACATAATTAATCATATTAAAAACCAAACTGTCCCAAACCACATGATTATCTCAACAGATGTAGAAAAAGCCTCAGAGTACAGCACTCTTTTGTGCCAAAAACTCCACAAAGTATAGACATAAAAGGACCTTTATAAAATGAAAAGCATCACATTCAATGGGGATACAGCAGAATCTTTCCCCCAAAATAGGTGAGTGGAACAATGATGTGGACTCTCTCCATCATTATTTCATACAGTTCTGGAAATGCTAGCAATAGCATAAGACAAGAGAAAGAAATAAAAGGCATAAAGATAGGTAAAGAGGAGATAAAACTATCCCTGGTTGCTGATATGATGGTATACTTGGAAAATCCTAGGGAATCAACTAAGATATTAATTGAAAGAATTAATAGCTTCAACAGAATTGCAGGCTACATATTAAACCCTCAAAATCAACAGTATTTTTATACAATAACAAAACACAAGATGCAATAACAGAAAGGGAAATCTCATTCCAAATAACTAAAAAAATGCACAAAAACATATAACACTAATAGCCA